TAATTAATAAAATATATTGTTTCATAAAGGGAACAGTAAGCGTTCCAGGTCATCGGGTGATAGGCGCTTGTAATAATGATTAATACTCTATTATTTGATAGAGACGCCAGTCAGCGCCCCGGGTTATTGGGTGATAGGTGCTTGTGATATTAATTAATAATATATATCGTTTTATAAAGGGAACAGTAAGCGCCCCAGGTCATCGGGTGATAGGCGCTTGTAATAATAATTAATACTCTATTATTTGATAGAGAGGCCAGTCAGCGCCCCGGGTTATTGGGTGATAGGTGCTTGTGATATTAATTAATAATATATATCGTTTTATAAAGGGAACATTGAGCGCCCCAGGTCATCGGGTGATAGGCACATGTGCTATTGATTAATAATATAAATCGTTCAATAAAGGGAACAGTAAGCGCCCTGGGTTATCGGGTGATAGGAGCTTGTGCTACTAATTAAAAATATATATCGTTTCGTGAAAGAAACAGTAAGCACCCCAGGTCATCGAGTGATGGGCGCTTGTGATAAAAATTAATACTCTATTATTTGATAGAAATGCCAGTAAGCACCCCGGGTCATTAATTGATAGGCACTTATGCTATCGATGAATACTTCATTATTTAATAAAGGGACCAGTAAGCGCCCTAAAACATCAAATGATAGGCGCTTGTGTAATTAATTAATAAAGTATATGGTGTCATAAAGAGAACAGTAAACGCCCCAGCTCATCAGGTGATAGGCGCTTGTAATAATAATTAATACTCTATAATTTAATAAAGAGACCAGTTAGCACCCCGAGATATCGGGTAATAGGTACTTGTTCTATTAATTAATAATATCAATCGTTTGATAAAGGAAACAGTAAGCGCGCCAGGTCATCGGGTGATAGGAGCTTGTGCTACTAATTAATAATATATATCGTTTCGTAAAGGTACCAGTAAGCACCCCAGGTCATCGGGTGATGGGCGCTTGCAATAATAATTAATACTCTATTATTTGATGAAAATGCAAGTAAGCACCCCGGATCATCAATTTATAGGCACTTGTGCTATCGAACAATACTTTATTATTTCATAAAGGGACAACTAAGTGCCCTGAGACATCGGGTGATAGGCGCTTGTGCTATTAATTAATAAAATATATTGTTTCATAAAGGGATCAGTAAGCAACCCAGGTCATCGGGTGATAGGTGCTTGTTTTAATAATTTAATAATATAAATCGTTCAATAAAGGGAACAGTAAGCGCCCTGGGTTATCGGGTGATAGGAGCTTGTGCTACTAATTAAAAATATATATCGTTTCGTGAAAGAAACAGTAAGCACCCCAGGTCATCGAGTGATGGGCGCTTGTGATAAAAATTAATACTCTATTATTTGATAGAAATGCCAGTAAGCACCCCGGGTCATTAATTGATAGGCACTTATGCTATCGATGAATACTTCATTATTTAATAAAGGGACCAGTAAGCGCCCTAGGTCATTAATTGATAGGCACTTATGCTATCGATGAATACTTCATTATTTAATAAAGGGACCAGTAAGCGCCCTAAAACATCAAATGATAGGCGCTTGTGTAATTAATTAATAAAGTATATGGTGTCATAAAGAGAACAGTAAACGCCCCAGCTCATCAGGTGATAGGCGCTTGTAATAATAATTAATACTCTACTATTTAATAGAGAGGCCAGTCATCGCCCCAGGTCATTGGGTAATATGCGCTTGCGGTATTAATTAATAACATATATTGTTTTTTTAAGAGAACAGTAAGCGCCCAAGGTCATCGGGTGGTAGGCGCTTGTGTTAATAATTAAGACTTTATTATTTAACAGAGTGGTCAGTAAGCACCCTGGGTTATTGGGTGAAAGGCGCTTGTGCTATCAAATAATACTCTAATATTTAATAAAGCGAGCAGTAAGCGCTTCAGGACATCGGGTTATAGGCGCTTGTAATAATAATCAATACTCTATTATTTAATAGAGAGGCCAGTTAGCGCCTGGGTTATCGGGTGATAGGTGCTTGTGCTATCAAATAATACTTTAATATTTAATAAAGCGTGCAGTAGGCGCTTGAGGACATCAGGTGATAAGCGCTTGTAATAATAATTAGTACTCTGTTATTTAATAGAGAAGCTAGTCAGCGCCCCGGGTTACCGGGTGATGGGCGCTTGTGCTATGAATTAATAGAATATATTGTTTCATAAAGGGAACAGTAAGCAAGTCAGGTCATCGGATGATAGGCGCTTGTTTTAATAATTAATACTCTATTATTTGATAGAAATACCTGTAAGCACCCCGGGTCTTTAATAAATAGGCACTTGTGCTATCGAACAATACTTTATTATTTTATAAAGGGACCAGTAAGCGCCCTGGGACATAGGGTGAAAGGCGCTTGTATTAATAATTATTACTCTATTATTTGATAGAAATGCCAGTAAGCACCCCAGGTCATCAATTAATTGGCACTTGTGCTATTAAACAATACTTTATTATTTAATGAAGGGACCAGTAAGCGCCCCGGGTTATCGGGTGATTGGCGCTTTTGTTAATTTATGANATTTAATAAAGAGGCCAGTAATCACTCTGAGTCATCAATTGATAGGCGCTTGTGCTATTAAACAATACTTTATTGTTTAATAAAGGGACCAGTTAGCGCCCTTGGACATCGGGTGATAGGCGCTTGTGCTATTTATTAATAATGTATATCGTTTCATAAAGGGAACAGTAAGCGCCCCAGGTCATCGGGTGATAGCCGCTTGTAATAATAATTAATACTCTATTATTTGATAGAGAGGCCAGTCAGCGCCCTGGGTTATCGGGTGATAGGCGCTTGTGCTATTTATCAATACTTTATTATTTAATAAAGCGACCAGTTAGCGCATCAGGTCATCGGCTGATAGGCGCTTGTGTTAATAATTAATACTTCATTATTTAATAGAAATGCCCTAAGCATCCTGGGCCATTAATTGATAGGCGCTAGTGCTATTGAATAATACTTTATTATTTAATAAAGGGACCAGTAAGCGCCTTGGGACATCAGGTGATAGGTGCTTGTGCTAATAATTAATACCTTATTATTTAATAAAGCGACCAGTAAGCGCCTTAGGTCATCGGGTGATAGGCGCTTGATTTAATAATTAATACTTTATTATTTAATAAAGTGACCAGTAAGTGCCCCGGGTCATTGGGTGATAGGCACTTGCGGTAATAATTGAAACTTTATTATTTAATAGAAATGCCAGTAAGCACTCCAAGTTATCGGTTGATAGGCACTTGTGCTTTTGAATAATACTTTATTATTTAATAACACGATTAGTAAGCGCCCCAGGACATCGGGTGATAGGCGCTTGTGCTATTGAATAATACTTTATTATTTAATAAAGCGACCAGTAAGTGCCCTAGATTATCAAGTGATAGGCGCTTGTATCAATAATTAATACTTTATCATTTAATAAAGTGGCCAGTAAGCACCCCGGGTCACTAGGTGATCGGCGTTCGTGTTAATAATTAATATTTTCTTATTTAATAGAGTGGCCAGTAAGCACCTGGGGTCATTGGGTGATAGGCGCTTGTGATATTAATTAATGCTTTATTATTTAATAGAGAGGCTAGTTAGCGCTTAGGGTCATTGGGTGATAGGCATTTGTGTGATTTATATTACAATTTCTAATTTCCACTTGTCTTTGACAATGCCCCTCCGCTGCTGTGCTGTCTGCTCGACGGAACATCCTCTCTAGATCGTATAGCTATATATACGATCTAGGGAAAAAGTTCTGATATTGAATCCGCCTAACTCAACGCTGCCTTTTGAGTGCGTTCACTTGGATTTGTGAGTGAACGAAATTCGTTCCTCTAAAAGCTGAGAGAGCGCTCGATACTCTCTTAGCTAGTTGGGTGTCGACACGCCACCACGTGGCTGAACGCCAAATGTACACTGCGCACGTAAATGGAAAGTATCTCTTAGTGAGGGCACAAAGTGCGGCCCGAGGGCGAAAACAGCAGTTGTACTTTGCACCGTAGGTAAGAAAAAGTTTATTACTTATCTTATGAAAAATAAGTATAGTTAATTATACTTTTATACTCTCACTATAATATAACAGGTATTTAAAAAAAAGCATAACAAAGAATGCGTATATCACACCATCAGCTTACATTTAAGAGGCCTGTGTTAGAAACTATCGCAAGAGACTTTGTGAGAAAAACTTAATAAAGCTTAAAAGTTTTCTTAGTTTAATTACAACTCATTAAATTTTAAGATTAAATTTAAGTAAGATAAAAAAAAAAGGTAATGGTTGTCTTTATAAACTCAATACAAACACGAACCTTTGTTGTTTACATAAAACCTTTAGCCGGTAGTAAATTTTTTTTATATTTAGTTTATACAGAAATCAATCCACTTTGAAAGAAATGGGACAAGTTCTTAATCGAAAAGATGTAAACATTATTCTTTCAATTATCTAATTCCCTTACTTCTGACTTTTTTAAAATTATAAATAATAGCATAGAAAATGTAACCAGAAAGAGAAACCTGCTTCTGTTATATTAACTAGAAACAATGATGTTTCATAAATTTGTATTTCTTACGACATTTTTGAACTTAACCTTGCTAAAAGTACAGCTATATATTATCGTTCAACCAAATTGTTTGAAATTTTTTATAGATAGGTTAGAATTCATAATATTTTATAAATACACATTTTGCCTATTTACATACAAAAGAAAATTAGGTGTTGGACTTTAGAATATAATTAAAAATACATTTTTGTATATTATAATGTATGGTTGAGCTTGTAAA